TACTTAACAGTGCTTCATTAAGATCAATTTTTTTTGATTTGCTTTCATGTATTGGACTTCTTAGTTTTTCTTTTTTTTCACCTTTGTTATAAATAATATAATATCAGATGACATACGTTTTTGATCACGATCGTTGATGATAAACAAAAAATTACAATTATCATTTGAAATATGATTCTAGAAGTGGATTTGAAAATTTGTTTGACTGAGCAGTGAAAAGCCGGTATTTGAGCATTGGTTTGTTGCAAGGATGCAGGGTAAGCAAACTTTGAGGCGAAAAATTTATTTAATCAATGGGAGGTCATTTAAATGGAAAATTTGAAACAGTTAATTGTGATTGGGGTTGACAAAATTTACGCAATATTAAAAATCATTAGTCTTTTCTAATTTATTTTTCACTTCATTTTGCATCAATTTAATGTATTTCTAATTCTGATCAACGTCACTCATCTTGACAGCATTTTGTATCATTTTAACCATTTTGTTATTTTTTCATTTATTGTTATGTCTGCTTTGGTGTTACACATTTTTTTTTTTTTCTCGATAAAAATTGTTCCTTCCAACTTGGCTAGTTATAATACGCATTGGCAACTGCTGAAACTTCATTTGATCTTACACGAACAACGAAACGTCGCAGTTTATCACTGTTCTTTCATTGTTCTATGGTCTGCACATTTGTGGGGTGTTTCGTTTATTAGAACATGAATTGGCAAGTGTCATAATTTTAAAAATTACTTCAAAAGTTTTTAGAACAATTATTTTGCAAGGTATCAATTTGAGGTCTCATTTTATCATTGGTTAGCTTAATAGCATAAGTATGAAACTAAATTAGCATAGTGTTTTCCATGGAAGATTATGCGAAGTCGATGATAGTGCCAACCGTTGTTATAATGTAGTAGACGATTTTTTTTAGTCTTAATATCTGTAATGAATAATTTTTGATAATTTTGAAGTGTAAAAGTGTGAGGGAGTGGCTTTTGAGTTGGAAAGAGGATTGCAATTACCACTTAGCTTTGTATTCATAAGGTTAAAGGTTGATTTATAGTTACTTGTATTTCCGTAAGTTCTGTTTTCGTTTGCAATTTTCGCTCCATCTTTTTTTTAGAATTGTTCATGAGTAGGAAGAGCTTTTTACCGGATTAAATGGTTAATAGATGTTTTACAGAGGTTAACAACGTCGCTGATTGATAAATAAGTTGATATACAATACGTTTTATATTTTTGATTCGATAATTAAGTGTTATTCAGCTTAAAGAATTGTAAAAGTCAGTTGTTTGTCACTACTTTTATGGTAATGACTTTGAGAGGTTTTTTCTTGATGCCTATTTGATTATTGTTCGCTGAAAGTGGTTTTAAATGGCATCTTCAGAAGTTGTTATAATTTCTTTATAGAGTGCACTTTTGTGATGTCTGTTCCGAACTTGTAGAATTGTCTGAAGTGGTTTAGTTCGTGGAAGCTGACTTCCTTAGGTCATGAACATTTTGATTTGTGTGTTTGTGTATTTGTGTTTATATCGCCAATAATTATAGTTTTGCTTTTTCTTCCAGGGTACTTTGTAAGATTTTGTCTTGTAGGTGCTTTATTGAATCAATACGCGTTTGTGTTTCGTTCTGTTTTTATTTTTATTTTGCTTAGCATTTGTTTCGCTTATAGTATAAAATGAAATGTGGTGAATAGTAAGCGGGAGTAATATTAGTATAGATAATAATTGTTAATCTTACCGTGAGCCTTGTTATAGGTATTCTTCTGAACTGGAAACTAACTGTGAGTACGGCTTTTGATATTTGGCGCACTTACTCAATGGTAAATAACACAATGGGCGAAATTGCGCCCCCTGCAACGCTTAGCGACTTGATAACCCAGTTGATGAATATATCTGAACAGCCTCTTGATGGAGACGTTTCACAGCAAAGGTGGCTTTAGTTTTATTTTGATTTCAGAAATTATACGTTTTTAATGAATTAAAGAGGTTAACATAAGAAGAACGGATGGAGTTAGATGGGAAATTTATTTTTAGATTTTTTTAAAGAGTGTTTTCTAGCATTGTTATAGACAAACAAATTACTCGGGCGATTTTTTTTTTTTTTTTTT